ATATATATGTATGTGTGTGTATATGTATGGCAGTAAAACTGCATACCGCGCTATTGAGCCACTCAAAATTACCGCAAGGGAAATTCCCTCACCGCGACAGCCCTAGCTGCTACTGCCTGTAAGCTTGTTGGCAACCTGGCAGCCACAGGATCTAATTTTCTAGAAAAATAAGCTACTGGTCTCAACCTGCACCCATGGTTCTGCAACTGCACAGATGTCATACAGCCATTTCTTTCATCCACAGTCTGCACAAATGGGTGTGTCAAGTCAGGCAGACCTAGAGAGGGTGCGCTCTGTAATTTAAATTTTAAACTTATGAAGATATTTTCTGCCTCCTTAGTCCATTTCACTTTGTCATGAGAATGCAAACCTTCCCATGAGCCAGTGCACTCAGAGGGGCTTCTAGGATTGCATAATTTGAGATGAATGTGTAACAATATGAATACATTCCCAAGAATGACAATAGTTGTTTCTTTGTAGCTGGTTTCGGAAATTTTTTAATGGCCTCAACCTGTTTTGCAGACAGTGACTTCCCCTCTCCTATAATGCCATGCACCAAAAATGTGACTTGCTGTTGTGCAAACTGTAACTTTGACAAGCTTGCTTTATGACCTTCAGCAGCCAAATGCTGCAGCAGTTTAACAGTGTCTTTTTCACACTGCTCCTTTGTTGGTCTGCATACCATCAAGTCATCAATGTACTGAAATTGGGTGGTGCCAGGTGTCAGGAGTAATGGTTCTAGACTCATTCTCAGTGCCTCGTTACGTACTGTTGGTGATTCCCAGTAGCCGTGGCATAATCTTGTAAAAGTGTAACCTTTCCCATTAAAATTGAATGCAAACCAGAATTGACTGGGCGTACTGGCATACTGATCTGTCATTTTCCAGATCGACCATAGAAAACCATTTGGCATCTGGTGGCACTTGAGACAATATTAGCACATTTGGTGCATGTGCCTGAACTGTAGCATTAATAGCTTGTAGGTCTTGCACAAATCTCCACTGAGTTGGCTGACTTTTGTCTCTTATTGTTTTGACAGGAACAATGGGGTTCACACTGGACAGTCATTGCATGGCACAATAATTCCCACTTCTCTTAGCGAGTTGGCCACAGTGGTCATACCATCAATTGCTTCCTTTTTTTAGAGGGTATTGTGGTTAACATACATATAGTCAGAGTTTGCTCTTATCACCACCAGTTCAGCTCCTTTTATTAAACCCACGTCGTATTTATGTTATGCCAATGTGATCTCATGAGAATTTGTATGTATTTTGCGTAAAATGTGGTTCTACAAAACGTACATTTACTTATGTTTTCACAGGCACTAAAACATACAATACTGATATATTTACAGCTGTAATGACATTATCATTTATTTATTCATTATTAATTTGTAATTATAGGGAATTAATGATTATTACCACATTCAGGTTTTGCTAGGATCTGAATGTCCCAAGTCCACCTGATTAAACCGATTCCAAATTTGTTAGTTTGCACTTCAAATCAAGGGTCGTCCAGCGAGCCGGTGATTCTTAGTATCTTTTAACAAATTTAATATGTGTTTTCCTGGCCACAGTCAACACAATTATGATTATTTGTAAGCTCTTAACAGAGGTAATTATTATAAGTAAGCTACGAGCTAAGTAGCAAGCAAGGATCTTTTGGCATAGTTTTAACCTTGAAATTATATGAGCCAAGACACTTCTTCTTTATAAATGAAACATGAATTTTATTGGCTAATCTAGATTACATAAAAACCTAACTAAAACATACACACACATACACACAAAGATTCAAGGAAAGGAGTCAACGGAGTTGCATTAAGTTTCGCAAGTGGTTTTAAATTGAGCCTAGGAGAACACCAAGCAGCGATTGTCTTATCTTTACTGCTTAACTCAATTCACCAGTTCAACACCGATGATAGTCATGTGGCGTCACGCTGTATATCCTGTGCTTGCCTGAGGGCATTATTTAATTCTTTTCCTGTTCTGGACATAATGGTTCCATCCATTGGTGGGTCCCAAGACATGGGGTTTCTATAGGTTGTGAATGAACTCTTTCAGTCCTTGATACCAAGAAAGCTTTGTCGTCTCCTGATCGAATTAGTTTCGATCTCATGAGTAGATGAGTTTACCATACTGACAGGAAATCAACCAAGAATATGGGATTCATGTGCTGGGTGATTTAGCAAACCTTGTGAATGCTGATATCAGTGTCTGTTCATATTAAGAAATCCCTACACAGCATTTGGACGTACAATACTGCCGTATTTTCAGCATTTTAACGTACAATACTGACTTATTGACGAAACCTAAAACGTAAATTATTTACGTATGAAAAACTTTACAGACTTACTAATGAATTCTTATTAATATTGAAATCGCGACATTATTATATTCAGTTGTCAAATCAATGACATTATGTTTTTAATTGCATTATTAAATGAAGCATACTCAATTACTTA